GGGCCTTTTCATCAAGTGGACGCCAATATGCAAGTTTATGAAGAAACAGATGTGTAGCAAGGACGCTGAGTTGAGTTCTCTTGAAGCCATGCAGATGAACTTGCTGGTCTGTCAAAATATATTAATTTCTCGAACCACTGTCATCTATATATTCTAGGATTATCTTAACTATTATGAAACGGTTCGAACTCATCTAGCAAACGGACTATACATTGGCTACGTCAAACTCCATACGTCGGTTAATCACATCGACGTGGTGGTGCCTGAAAATCTACCCTCAATATTGCCTTTCGTGTATATCCGTGAAAATCCCCACGTTTCAAAGTAGGCGAATTACGTGAAAGGCCTCGTTTCACAGGTACTCATGCTCTTGTGATTTCAGGGAAGAATGGGAATGGCTACATTTGTTGAACAGCCATGGAACGAACGCCACAAAGCCAACGATCGCCCAGCTGACTTTCCAATGGGCGGTTGTGTCGGCTGCGAAAATATTGCTCAACGACCTTGGGGTGGCCGACACGGAAATTCCCGTGCATCGTCTGTACGTAATGGAGGTGATCGAGATCAACGAGAAAATTTCATTCATTCTGCTGTTGCCATCGAGGGCCGAGATCTGCACGGCGCCGGGACAAGAGGCGGTTTGGGAAAACCAACGAGGTCGCCTGGTGTTACCCCTGAAAATGTTCGAAGTCGGTATGCAGACCTCGAATACGATCAAAATTATGATACATAATTAGAACCCCGTTATATTACTCTTAGTTCACCTCTGCACGTACCATCCGGAATTCATCTCTCGGTGCTCACGCATCTCTATCTTCCTGGAACTTTTTGGCTCAACCATTCAGCAACTGCAGCGTGAAGTAAGTGACACCGATACTGTGTTGTAAAATTCGTACATAGCAGAAAATAGCTTGTCGAATTAAGCAAGAAGGAACGGTCTGTTCTTTTCCTCATTTTTGCAGTTTTGCAGTTTCGTTCATCATTAAGAACTCAATAGAGACAGAGCCAGATTTACTTAACGGTTAGGTTCCGTTATCCATTATATAGCACCAGTGATACGCCGGGTCAAATTTGTTAAGCCCCACTCTGAAGATCACATGCTATTACCATAAGAATGCAATAATCACTATGGAACATGAGTACATTAGCGTTATGAAAGGATGTCAGATAGTGATGCACATTACACTACAATATGTAATTAATAATGCAAAGTAATATGATACGCCAGTAACGGTATGAGAGAATAGCAAAGTGAAAAAATGTTCGTTTGGCCTTGAGAAATGATCAAGAAAACACTGAACAGTGGCCTCTTTCATCTTTTCATGAATCGTTGTCCAGCAAGCTAAAGCCTCCATTCCTCCCTAATCATGTCATTTCTGCTGTAACGTCTCGAAACTGATTACGGTCTCTTTCATTACGAAACGTTTCGGTTTTTCTTCTGGTTTTGAATCCTCAGATTTGGCAACTTTTGCTGTTTCTAATTCGACGAGTTCCTCATTTGATATTGTATTCCCTTGTGAATCTATAAATTTTTAAATAGCAAATTCGTTCCTTAGCAGACTATGCTCTCTGATGATCTCTCAAGAGCTTCAGGTCGAACAAATGATCTGGGAAATACTGCCTGTTGCGTTTTCTAGTGCCATTCTGATTTTTCACGATCTCAGTCTGCCTTTCACCTAGAGATGACATGGAAATTCACAGTTTACGGTAGTCCCGATCGATTCTGAGAAATTTTGAACAAATGGAATACTGTTAGTGGAAGTCGCTTTTCTCCTCTTGATTGTTTGCCTTTCACGTCTTGACCTAGCCTTATTTCTAACACAGCATTTTTGAATGCCACAGCATTGCGACATGCCGTAAGAATGTTACATGGCTGGATGAACCCAGCATCGCTGAGTGATGAAGACGATTTAGCAAGTGGTTTGAGTATTCTTTTCTCTCTGAAAAATACCATTTTTGCGGTCTGAGTTTTCCATGCAAATGCTTCACGCATTGAGTGCCGATAAACGAAGAGTACGTCATAGATGTAGTACCTTCTATACACTTCAATACATTCATTATGACAATTATCAATTATTTGTCGCCTGGTGTAATATGTTTCAAATGCCTTCATGCCGCAATATGTTATTATTGCACCCAATGACGATCGACGTATTGCGGATTGATACACAGGTTTTCTGAGCAACGCTTTGTCTACTAACCATGGAATCAGAAACGAGAGTCATGTTTCAAACGTTTGTCATACCGCCGTGTTAATATCGTATGACCTCTGCAAATGGCTCTTACAACGCGTTTTATGTTATAGGCGTTGGAGGAGGGTCGAGCCAAGAAATACAAGGACAAAGTGAACGAAGTGCTGGCACTTCAAAACCGCTTGGAGAAGTTGTGGCAGTCGTCTCGATGGCTTAGCACCGTTGTAGCCACTTCCCGATCCAAGCATCTGTCTTCTGGATTGAGTCTGGACGTACTGTTTAACTACTCTGTGTCCGAATGTGAAATTCAGCATTCGTTTAACGTTTCAAGGTCTTGCCAGGGAAACAGCATCGTCAGTAGAAGCAAACACTTCTCCTATCTTGAGTACGGCCTGAAGAGCCAAGACGCCGAGACTAACAGCTGCGATGAAGCGTTCGAGGACAGCTCGGACATCGGCTATCATTCGGACCAGTCGACCGACAAGACGTTCTCTGCTCCTTTCCTGCAGGACTCGTCTCTGACGTCGATGGTGTCGACGACGAAATCCATGGAAAACGTCTTGTGGAGCTTCGACCCTGCCGGCGGCATCGAGAACCCTGTTTACGATGTGCTGAGGCCGCAAGACGATGCGGCTATCAAGGTCAAGAGTGGCTACGCAAATGTCGGATTCTTGTCATCACCGCCGTGTCTGTTGTCCAGCGTCCGCAGCCGTTTCTGTAGAACCGGATCTGCGCTTGAGTTCGCTATGAAGATGCGACCTCTGAAGGAGCAGCAGTCGTTCGACGAATCTCTTTTACGGAAGCAGTCGCAATCGCCATCAGTGGGAAGCAAAATCGATCAAACCTCTCAAAATATGATTACTCATTGTTCAGGAGACTCCAACGAGTGTCAAAGGAGTCAAACATCACTGGAGCCTCTCGTTTCCCCCGACTGCGATTTAGCCAAGTCCAAAGACGCGTATTCAGCATCAGACAGCGAGCTGGCCAGCAAGGTCTTAACTCATAATGCAGACACAGCCATTCAG